ATGCAGGATTGAATTAAAATTGATATTTATTCTCCTTGATGCATATAACGCGTATATTTGTGATTCCATATTAAGTATAGCAATCATTTATGCTTTTTAATTAAATTAAAGTTAAAAATAGCTTAAATTAGATGTTTACCTACGATTAATACCATGTCATACCCATTTATTCCAATGTGGACCTAAATTACTTAGAATTTTGCAGGAAACAGTGAAATGATTGCATTTGAATTTAAAATGCGCATTGTCGATGAAAATTCCGTGCTAATTTTAATTAGCAGGAGTAGTTTATCCTTATTATTCCTAGTTAACAAACAAAATGCATAACTAATGGAATTTTGTTTGTAGCGATGAGATGCAAGTGTAATGTGAATTTAAAAGTATCCTTAGTTCTACATATTTTCGCCTATATGGAAGTAATCTTCGTTGCAGTGTCAACAATGAGTAATAAAAGTGATGCATCAGGTGAGGGTGCTGATTCAGCATCGGATGTCGAAATGAAACATGTCGCTTCCTCTGACGATGAACAAGTTAAGGTAATTAAAACATTACATCTTACAACATTAAAAAGATTTCCTTGTTTATCGTGGCCATCGTTAATATTTATAGAATTATATGACGTTACGTTGCCGGAATTTCTGTTACATCTACATGTTATATTGTTCAGTTCTTTTTTATGGTATTTTTTGGTTCTTTTGTGATGGTTTTTTCTTTTTTGTTTTTTGTAATAATAAATTTCTATCCTAATGATTATTTATGGCGGCTCTCTCAGTTCTTTAAACTTTTTCTTGGCAAGAAATGAAAAAGCATTTTTTAGCCGTTTTAGCCGTTTTTTTAGCTGTTGACAATATTCGAAACTTTCCGGGTGTTTCAGGATTCATCAGCAAAAGATAAATTAAATCCGGATAGTGAAGATAATAAGCAAACAAAAGGAAGACGTTCCACCCGTGCTACTCATCAGAACAAGAAAGTGATCGAGAGTGGTAGGTTCTGTGAATTCATTTTTCAGACCAATTCTGTAAATGATTGTTGAAAATTTTAATGCACGAAGAAAATTATGTACCTTTAGTTATAATGAATTTCTTTAGTTAGAAAGCAATATACCCTAGTTAT